AGAAGCCCATTACAGGTGGGTAGTTTGCAAGTCGTCGAGACAATAGTTTCCCTGGCCAACGCACTTTGCAAAGCTCACTGCCAAACCCTAAACCCCAAATAGAAGTTTCCATGTTCTTTTCCACTCTTTCTGTATATCCTCCATATTAGTGGGGGGAGAATTACTAGGTTTCCCAGTAACCCATTCATAAGAAGGGTACCCTTTTTCCTGCTGTTCAGCTTTAAGAAGGAGACCCCAAAAATAAAAAGGGCAAAAGGGTACTACTGGGGTACCTAGACCCTAAACCCTAAACCCCTAAACCCTAAACCGTGCATGTCCAGGCTAGCGCAGGAAGCTCTGGATTCGGGCGTATGCGCATCTTTCATAGCAAGGCCTCCTTCTCCCCCAGGATTGCCCAAGCGACGCACGACGGCAGGACGGCTATCAAGATCTGGTAGTCCCCCTACATAGGGAAATCCCACTAGAACTCTGGCTCAGACTAGCCTGCAAAAAGCGCCAACTCCTTGGATTTCGGCCGGAACAAGAGCGAGGCTCTGATCCTCTCAGCCTACTTTCCAGACATTGGCTCTCGCTCATCGCTGCAAATGACGGCAGATGCTCACTAAAGTTTCAGGCTGCGGAAGCCTCACAGGGCCAGAAGTGTTCTTCACAACCAAGGCCAGGAACTTCTTCAATTTCACCCCGCACTCTGGACCCCTAAAATACTAATCCTTATTATTGGGATCCCCAAACTGGCACCCCCAATTGTGGGAAACCCTAATCCCTAAACCCTAGAACACCCTTTTAAGATACCCGTAATTTTGGGAAACCCTATCTCACGACCATCATCCACAGCTGCAGAGCGTAGGATGTGCACAGCCATATGAGCTTTCGTCTAAACTCCTAGTATTCCCGTTAGTAACCCCTATAATACGCCCCTGCAGAATCCCCTATACAATCCCCCATTTAAGGAGTTTAGACCCTACACCCTAAACCAATCCCCAAACCCTAAACCCCTTTTTCACCCCCTTTAAAGAGTTTAGATTATAGCTCATATTGCGTAGCAATGAATTCAGGACAGCCTTGCCAGATTGATGCAGCTTGGCACACATACCCCAAACCCTAAATCCTGAACCCTAAGCCCTAAACCTTGAACCAGGTAAACAAGGCGCCGCTCCCTTTACACCTGCCCTACAACGACCATTAAGATTTACTTATGTAGGTTGTAGGGTTTAGGGCTTAGGGTACTAAGGGTTTAGCGTTTCGGGTTGAGGGTTTGGGGTTTAGGGTTGAGGATCAGGGGGCTATAGCCTATTGATTACTGTACTTATAATCAAAGTATATGCCCCCCAAGTTCCGAATATGCGTATCATTGGAGTATATCAGTACAACTTCACGGGGTTATCAATACCCTGAGCCTACAAGCAGACGGACCACACTCAAACACCAAACCCTAAACCCTAAACCGCAGATGTGGGGAGCCCCTGAGGACCCCGAAATCTTCAGAATCCTAATCGAAGCGCCTCTGCATACACAGCCAGAAGCCAAGCTTCTACACCCCAATCCTGCACTCGCATGAACTGTGGTTTGGGTTTAGGGTTTGAGTTACAGTCAAAACTTTGCATGTAATTAATGGAAAACCAAATGGAAAAGAGCATTTAGGGTTTTGGGCTAGGGACATATGTCCCATGCAATGAGTGGGCATGGGTTCCTATTAGACCCTCACCTTAATTTTCATGGTCAAGCCCGGCACCCTCTGGGTTTAAAGTTTAGGGCTTAGGATTTAGCTTCTTGCGCTTGTGAAGCTTAGCTAAACCTTAAACCCTGAACTCCAGACCCTGAAGCCTAAACCCTCATTTGTGTCCAGGGGCCTGCGAGTAGCGCTCACGCCACTGCGGAAGTGTGATCCACTTGTAGTGGCCTACGGTGGATGTTAGGGTATACTACCAATCTGCTTGAGCCTAAGTACCTGATACCTAGGGAATTATGGTATCGCGGTATGCAAGAACTACAGTTGAAACTCCTTAAAGGAGGCGATACAGGGGATCATATAGGGGAGTGTTGTTGGGGTTACTAAGAGGAAACATGGTGCTATAGTATACGGAGGGTCACGCAGGATTTCTAGCATCAGCAGTAGTTGCTTGTTTCTCTGGCCCCCCAAGAAGGCTAACCCTCCAATTCTAATACTTCCCCCACCCGCTACTCTCAAATATTCCACATAAGAGACCTTATGTCCTGGGGGGGCACATTAGCGTACCCTAAACCCTAAACCCTACACACAGGGGGCACATCATTCTAGGGTTGGGGCGGTCTTAAACATTAGGATTTCACGCCCAAAAACTTCCGAGTTGTTTGGGTTCCCTGGCCAAGAAGAAGTCCAACCCTAAACCCGGTTTAGCGTTTAAGGTTTCTTAGCCTGCCTGCATTATCCTAGGAAGAAAAAGGGTCCTGTTTACATAAACATAAAGAATCCCATGCACCAAAAAAGTATAAATTATCCCTAACATGGATCCAGGTTTAGGGTTCAAAGTGGGGTCATTCCCCCTTACAGTAACTGTTACCACAATGAGTTATAGGAGTTATAAGAACCCCCTTACTAAGGCCCCTTTAAGGACAGTTACTGGGAGGGGGAATGACCCAAAGTATAAACCCTAAACCCTAAAGCCAAATAAGACTTCAATCTGCCCAGCAGAATTTGAGTTAATTTAGACCCCTGATTAATAAACCCCCTCCTTTTAGGGGCCCAAAATATTAGGATCCCTATTATAACCCCTATTAAGGGGAGGAGGTTTATTAATCAGGGGTCTGGGTTACTGCTGCTACATGGCCAAGAAAAGACCATCTCTCTGAGTCTAATCTGACAGGTGCTTACGGGGAAGTGGGGGAACAACCATACGACCCTTGCAGGGCTATATATGGGTGGTTGTCAAAATTATGGTCCCTTTTCGGGTACCCTAAATATTAGGTGCCGTATTATAATAGGGATCCCAAAAAGGAACCATAATGTTGAGAACCATCCATATGGAGATTATGCAGGGATGATTGTAAGGATCCACCTGCCCCACTCTCCTTTGGGCACTAGCCAGCCGCCGCCGCGGCTGCTGCTGCTAAAACTATCGTGCAACTACGGCTCTTGGTAATAGTATTACGCTTGCCAACGTCATTTAAGTTGGAACCTTCCTACTTTCACAGTAGCACTGCCGCTGCTCCCGAAAGCCTAAACCCACCCCCATATCGCCCTTATGTAACTCCATTATAGTCTCACACCAAAAAAACATGATATACTATAAAATTCTATACTATAACATACTATAATATATTCAGCTTAAATGGGCCCCAAAATTCTCCGCCTCCTTGGAAGAGCTTCTTGAAGGCTCGACGGGTTGGCTGTGAAGAAGCAGTGTTGCACAGCTCCAAGAAGGTTTGGAAGGTATCTTCGATCAGCGGGATGTCACCTTGCTGGGAAATTCAGTGGCACGTCATACGCTAATAAGCGGAATCCGTAAACTCCAAACCCTAAACCCTTGAACGTTACCCTTAAGTCGAAACCCCTAAACTTCTAAACCCGAATAAGCGGGATAGCTGGGGCTGTTCTGTGGAAGGCAGTGAACCTGATGGTCCCCTGTTGGATTTCTAGCAATTGTTGAACCACGTCATTATACGTCATTATAGAAGCTCAGAAAGGTCCATTCCTTTGCCGACACCATTAAGATGGTGTATAGAACTTAATCGTATGCTTACTAGCTCGTCCCTAAGAATGAACCCCCCACGCCCCAACTGACAAACACCCCCCTATCATGTCACAGAGAACTTGCACCCCTATTGTATCATGGGGGAATATCTGTCAATGCGGGGGGGGATGATCTTGGCACGAAAAAATCCTTTATGACCTCAGTGCACCAGTATACCGTTGTTCCCAATGCATACGCTACCCGGGGTGTGCAAGATTTTTAATTTGAACCTTACACCCTAAACCCTGATCCACTATCCTTAAACCCTGAACCCTACATAACTCCTATATCCCATGTAAGCAGGTCCATCCACTGCATTCTTGGGAGGTGGGGACCAAATCCCCTAAACCCGCAACCCTAAACCTACACTCCAGGGAGCCAAAGGATGCCCGCACAAACTTAAGGCTTAAGGTTAAGGGTTTAGAGCCTTAGGGTTAGGGGCCTAGGGGTTTAGGGTTAAGCGTGTAGGGGTCTAGGGCTGAAGGTGTAGGGGATTAAGGTTTAGGATTTGGTGTCAACAGTAACCATCTTAGGGTTCCAAAGAATACGAAGACATTCTTCAACAGCAACCTAGTTAAGGAGTATTTGACAATAGAAATGTTGGGGAATTCAGGCAGTGTTGAGGCCTATCTGGCCAAGACGCTGAAACTAATCCCAGTTTTGGAATATCATGCACATAAGCCCGCACGTGGGTTAGGGTTGGGTGACATCACGGCAATGTTCCCAGACTATTCCACGGGGTTCAAATACTCACCAATCGACTTGCCCAAAAAACCTGTAGTACAAGTACTACTACCCGAATCCCAACTACCGAAGCATTGGATACCTGGACCTTTAGGGTTTAGCCGAGAGATGTAAGGGCTTTACAAGTCCTTCGGTTCAGATTTCTGTCACCTCCTTCGCAAGCATTCTTCCCCGCAAAAGAGGTAGGATCTGCAAGGAAGCCTAAAGCCTAAACCTTACCCCAACAACAAAAATTCAAAGGGTTTCGTGTAAAAGCCAGCTAAGTGTCGGAATTGTTTGATCCACGGCCCCAAACTTCTTTGAGTTGATAAACCTAAACCCTAAACCCTATTCGCCGAGGCTGGTCCAGCCTCAGGGTGTTTGGAACCCACCAAACTCCTCTTCCTTTGCTGCCCACTCCCCTAAACCCTAGACCCTAATCCCCACCAGGGTTTAGGGTTTAGGGGTTTAGGGCACTCCCCTAAACCCTAAACCCTAATCCCCACCGCCAACGATAAAATTCCAGGGCTTCCATTCCATGGCTTGATAACTTGGGAGGAAGGGCCGGTGAGCTTTTTTAGAGTTACAGGTCATTTCGGGATGAGAAGTACAATTACGAACAGGGGGGTGTTAGGGTTTAGGGTCATAATTGCCGTGAACTTCCCACACAAAAATCAGTTCTAATCCTCCTGCTTCACCTTCCTGTCGTTCAGTCGGATGTGCCAGTGCCGTCAAGCCAGCCCTAAGCCCTAAACCCCGGACTTCAAACCCTAAAGCCTGAACCCTCAACCCTAGGTTTTGAACCCTAAGCTCTAAACCCTAAAGTCTCAGAAATCAGCTAGCTTTTGAAGGCGAAACTTGAGTGCAAGTTGCCCCCCTTCACACGGTGTTTGAGGCCTTCAGTGGCCCTTCTGATCCACTCCATACAGCGTGTTGTGGTAGAGGCGGAGTAGATTTGAAGTATGTCTGGAGCCTGCAAGAATCACGCCCAAGTCCGGGAATAGACGTTGAAAGAAGCAATCTGCTGAACGCGAGCAGTTGGCGTGAGGAAGCTCGTCAGCGACAGCTCGCACGTCATAACCCGCGGCCATGGAACTCTCTGGGTCGCGGCTATGTGGGTTTTAGGGTTTAGGGGTTTAGGGTGTAGGGGTTGGGGTTTCCGAGGATTGGGGCCGCTGTTGAATGGAATCCCTATAGCAAGGATTGTGGCTTTTGGGGGCAGATATTGGGGCCCCCAATTAAATAGAAACCTTTTTAGAAAAAACATATCCTAGACCCTAAGCCCTAAGCCCCTAAACCGCTGAAGCCCTAAACTCCTCAACCCCAAATTTCTAAACAGTTACATTCTCCCACCCGGCTAAGGGTCCCAGCGGCAAAAACAAAACAGCTTCAATCACAGGTTCCAGGGCGGCGCCTCTAATTAGGGTGTAGGGTTTACGGGTTTAGGGTTTAAGGTTGAGGGGTTCAGGATTCAGGGGTTTAGGCCTTACTGGATCTTAGTTGCCCAACCCCTAGCATGAGGACCCTGATTATACTTATCATGTGACTTTAACAAGCTTGGATGTCTGGGGGTTGGGGTTATTCAACTAAAGTCTCCTTCCTCATTGCTAATTTCAAGGGCTGCAAGGTTGTACCCTAAGGCCGAACTGAAAGGTTCCGCCTGATTTGACACGAATATAGCCCTTGCATGAGGCAATGTCATATCCTAGACTTTCTTCAACACATAAGACTTTTAAAGGGACTTTTAGGATTCAAGGGTTGTGGGTTATAACCCAAGACCTACATCCCACAACCTAGGCCTTAAAACTTTCAAGCCCTTGATGCCAAGCACTTGGGGCCACAGTTTTAGCTCGGTCAAACTATATATGAAGTTCCCAATTTCCCCGTTTAGGGTTTAGGGTTTAGGGGTCAGACTAGATATGAAGTTCCCAATTTTCCCCAGGGAGCCCGATGCACCTGAATTACGGCAAGGGAACCTACTCCACATGGTGCTAAGATCCCAAATATGTTTGGTGGTATACTCCTGCTTTTGGGATATGGGGTCCAAGCACTAAAAAATGCAACCCCTATATAACCTTATACAGCCCTAAATATCCTCTATATCACAACTCTAGATACTCCTCAATTGTGGGTGGGGTATTGGGTTCTCGAGTCTAGCCCTGTTTCAGGATACCTGCACAAAGGGCTCGTACGTCTTAAGACTTTTGGGCACGAAGCCCTCCAGACCGCGAGCCCACTTGAAGGTCTAAGGGGTTTAGGGTTTAATCAGGGTTTAGGGTGGAGGTCCGTGGGTAGTGTTACATCCGAAAGTAGGCTATAGTGAAACTTGTCCTGAGTCGTGTATAAAGCAGCGATGAAGGACCGTAGCATATTTTTTTGTTGTAGCTTTGGATTTCCCCTACCTAAGCCCCAAGCCCCAAACCGTAAGCCCCCCAAACTCCTCAACCCTAAACTTCTAAGTTATAAAATCCTAAACTCTAAACCCTATAGCCCTTAACACTAAATTGCAAATCCGAACCCCCCTAAGCCCTCAACCCAGAGCCAACAAAGGCACCATGAAGATACAGCGCTTGGAGGGAGATGCTCCCTTGCCTTTGATCTTTTGGCTTGGCTGAACATACTTACTTCTTGTTAGTAGGGTAATGGGTTGGGGGGGAATGAAGGTGTTTATTGGCCCCTCTCAACGGCGTCCCTTGCTGGGACAAATCTGCCATGGTGATCGGGTCCCCTAAACCCTAAACCCTAAACCCTAAACCCCTAAACCACAAACAGACAAACCCTTTGGCACAAAGCTTTTTGCCGCAAAAAGGGCTCTTCAGGGCGGTTAAGACCAGAAGGCCCCGCTTTGAAACCAACATTTCCTACGTCCAATTAAGGGCCCATAGCTACGACCGAGGAAATATATGGGGGTTTCCCAAAATTAGGGGTACCTTTCTTTTGGGGGTCCCTATAATAAGGACTATAGTATTTTAGGGTCTATATTGGGGTACCTTAATTTTGGGAAACTACCATGTTATGGTCCCATGGTTAGGACCTTAGATTGGAGCTAGGGAGGGTGAAATCTACATGGTATGTTGAGTTCGGCCCCACCCATTACCAGTGTGGCTGGCGGCCTAACCCGAATGGTATGAGCCAAACCTAAATCCTAAAAGCCCTAAACTGAACCAATTCCTTCATACAAGTATAAGACACCCTTGGTCCTAACACCAAATACGACTTCATAAAAGGGTCTCATGTCAATTTGGGATGAAAATTGGTCTAGTTAACCCTAAACCGAACACGCCACGCCCTAAACCGCAGAATCTGACGGGGGAACGCAACAACTTGGATCACACTCCTAACCTAGGAAGGTGCATCACAAAACACTAGTGCTATCTAAGTTCAGGATCTAGGGTTTAGGGGTCTATGATAGTAACTGTCAAGAACTATAAGGTGTTTTTTGGTTATAATTTGGGTCTTCCCTCCCTAGACAACACTAAACTCAACTCTGAACTCCAAACCCTAAAGCGTAATCCCTAAACCCTCTACCCCTAAACCCTCAACCCCTAAACCCATTCAACCCTAGACAATTCACCCATAGACCCTTCACCCTGAAGCCCAAAACCCCGAAACTCTGCAGCCACACCCTTGAAGCCTAAACCCTTAGCCCTCCAAACCTGGACAAAAGCGAACCCGTACTGAATTAGGGTGTAGGGCTTCGGGCTTACTCAGAATAGTGATGAGGCGCTTGAGCAAGTAGAATGAGGACAAGGCCACTGGGAGTATATAAGCATGCACACGAACATGTCAGGTTTCCATTTAAAATGAAGGGTTCCGCGTCCCACTTGAACTTGGAGAAGGGAGTGGGGCATGTTCTATTATAGTTCTAGCAGGGATACAACAAACAGTTTTATAATAAACCCTAAACCCTAAACCCTAAACCCTGGTTTCAGGTATCAGGATTCCTGGCCCCTGCGCCTGAACAGGTTTAGGGTAAAGGGTTAATGGAAGACTAAATGGAAACTAAGGGATTCGGAGCTAATGTTGGGCGCAGTTTACTTAGAACGGGATTTGGGCTTCAAGGTTTAGGTGGCAAAATGGACAACAAAATGGACTTTAGGCTTTTGTAGGGAATTGCTCGCATTGGAACCTCGGAACCTAAATAGCTAGAATTCTATATAACCCCCCTTCAAGGAGTTTAGACTATAGCTCAGACGGTTCGCAATCTTCCTAGGACCCTTTGGGGCCCTAAACCCTAAACCCTAAGCCCCTAAACCCTAAACCCCGAAACCCTATTCCCTAAACCCTAAACTCTAGACCCTAAACCCTAAACCCAGTTCTTAGGGGAGCTCAGGCATTCAAAGCTGTCCAGGAGGCTCGCAGCTGTCAACTGGGACAAGCTTGGTCTCATCCAACGGCAACTTGATTGGCCTCCACAAAGCGACAATTTAAGGCCCTCAAAAGGAGTGGGTTTATATCATGAGTCTACATTATTCAGCTCCTATGCCGAGAAGAACCAACAAAAAACAGAACAGGCTCGCCTTCCCTCCTCAAGGATGCGACGCCCACCCCCCCCAATACCTTAGGTGGACCCCCCACCCTGTAATAGTGACTATAAGGGATAATAGGGATTAACCACCCGCACCCTGAAAGCTGCACGAGGAAAACTCCGTATTTAGGGTCTGTAGCGTCCGTGGTTCTACCCCCTTGCCCCTTCCTTAACAAGGAGAATGTCCAGCTGCTGAAATATTGACAACCATATGATCTACAGCCAATATCTCCTACATAATTTAAAAACCACGCGTTCCTTCTTGGGGGCTATACGTAAACTACAAGAGGGACCTCTAAATCCACCCTGAACGGTTCCAAGGTAAGGATAATATTGGCAGCAGCTCATAGAACTCCTGTAGGATCGTTTAGGGTTTAGGGTCTAGGGTTTAGGGTCTAGGGCTTAGGGTTTAGGGTCTAGGGTTTAGGGTTTAGGGGATCCATAATTTAGAGGGGTGGGTTGCCAAAAGCTTCAACACGCAGCTTAGGGTTTCGGGTTTAGGGCTCACCGTGGGGAAAAGGTGTACTACGGTTGATACTAAAATCTCTGCATGATCTTAAGTATATACCCTGAACCCCAAATCCTACGCCCTATACCCTGGAAATTCTGGCAAAGCCTACTGACCCGAAAGTCTAAACCCAAACACTAACACCTCTAAGGTCATGTGAACTATAATCCAAACTCCTGGTATCCCCCTTAATAACCCTTATAGTGCTCCCCTATAAACTCCCTATATAACCCATTTTATGGAATCTAGACTATAGCTCATGTAGCTTACTTGCAATTGCAACTGTACGGAGAGTCACTGAACCTTCGCTCCTAAAGACTAGGCTCTGAAACCGAAGCCCTTCGTCCGGTTTAGCGTTTAAGATTTAGGGTGGCTAAGGTTTAGGGTTTAGGGCTTAGGTTTTCCAGGTTTTAGGTATCCGAAACCCAAAACCTAACCGAACCACCCCAAAATGTGTGGTCAACTAAGGCCTCAAGGCAGCGTAGGAGGGGGGGCCCAGGGCGGGGCTGTCGTTGAAGTAGACCTTCACGTAGTGCCCCTCCTTCCAGCAACGGAATGATTAGGGTTTAAGGTTTGGGGTTTGGGGTTTAGGTTGAGGGTTTAGGGTGGCAGGTAGTGATGCCGAATTAGATCCGCACTTGCGGCCCTTTTTAACTCAAGTATAAACTCCGTAAGTCCTTCAATCTGTCTATACATGGGTTCTAGGTATCCTTCCAGCAAGGTGGTTGGCAAGCTAGGGGCCCCGCCCGCCGCAACGCTAAGGCTGTATTAGTGAGTGGGCTTTGTTAACCCCAACCCCTATATTTTGAACCATATAAGGAGTTATATGATAATCATAGGGTTGTTACAGTGGACACTAAAAATCGGGCATGACCCTCAATACCTTACCTTTCGGGAATCCGAGGAGCTGAGTAGAGCAAGGTCATGCAGGATTTTCGATACCAGCCGTATTTTGTGGGGGCTCGGATCTTCTGATTTTTATGGCGATTGGAAGAGTGTTTTTTTCCTAAGCCTTAAAACCTACACCATGCTTTAAAAGGGGTACTTTGGAGGGATACTCCCAGCGGGCTGTTTAAGCAAAGGGTTTGGGGCTGAAGGGGTTTAGGGTTTGGGAGTTTAAAGGTATAGGGGTTTAGATGATGGGGTCTATGAGACATTCGTGTACGCTGAATGCTCACACTAGTTCCATGGAGTTGGAGGTTAGAACCTCATAACATCATTGCAGCCTGAGTGCGTTCCTACATGGTAGTACACCCGAACCCCCCAAGCCTCTGAACGCTAAAACTCAACGCCCGAAAGCAGTATACCCAAAAACCCTGAAACTCTAAGCCACGTCCCTCCTCAACGTTATTGGTTCTGAACTAGTAGCAAATAGAGGAATACAATTCCTATACAACCCCTATATAATTCATTCTCTTATTCCCTACAAACCCCAAGTAAGCAACACAACTAAGTAACTACATCCTTAAAGCACTAGGCCCGAAACACCCCCTAAACACCCAAACCTCAGCAGAACCCAGTAGAGGTGGCTACTGTAGTTTACGTTTAAGGTTGGGGGGCTTAGGGCTAAGGGTAGATGCCGTCTTGTCCACTCACATTAGGCACAGGGCGCTTATGGGAGACCACGTCGGAGACCACACGGCCGAACGCATGGGAGTACTGCGGAAACTACGCACCTGTACGCTTCAAACTGCCTGCTTGTAACAGGCTTCTACGAAATTCACTAGCCCCTAAACTGACAAACCTAACCCCTACACTCCCGAACCAAACAACGTAAACACTGGGCCTAAATGAAGACCAGCATCATTTTCAGGTCTTTTCGAGGTACTCTACTCCAAAGTTATACCTTGGACCATGATATTGTGGTGGGCTCTGCTGAGCAGACCTTCTATAATACCCCGGCAAAGATTCCTGCCTAAAAAATTCAACCCCGAACCAGCCTAATCAAGGCAACTTTTTTGGGGGGGGCTGGGCGGGGTTAGGGAACACATATTATCGGTCATCGTTCAGGCTTCTACACTAAGCCCAGCCACCCTTGTGAAGTAGGAATATAATAGCAACATCAGGACCCTGGTAGGTACATTGCCAGTATACTCCTCCTGTGTTCTAAGGTTTCCTGCTTTGGGGTTCCTATTTTACTCCCTTTAGAACCCAGCCTCCTTTGTGGAATGAAGCTCGAAGAGCAGGAAGGCCCCGAATCCGATCGTCGGAAGCTCGAGGCCGAGATGTGTGGCCAAGGCAGCTAGGGTCGTGTCATGACAGGACCTGCGCAAACACTTCACAACCGTCATCATGTTTTATGAGACGGGATCCCTATGGGAGTCCCCACATAATCCTCTTATCGTCCCTGTTGCCCATTGTTTCATTCCCTACTCAGAGCCCTGGAGGATCGAAGCCTTGTAGCATAGGATGAATGGCCTAAGCCTAGACTTTACATCCAAGCCCCCTGAATTTCAGAAATCTCCACGAGGCAATTTCTCAAAACAAAAAAATGTTAGCTCAACTGGACTGATCCCATAATCCATTTGAAGGCCCTAGGGTTTTAGGGTCTAGCCTAGGGGGAAAAGTGAACCCTAATTTTCGCAAATCCTCACATCTGAACGAATCGCAGATGGGACTTGTCCGCCGCCCTTTGTTGCATATGCCGGCAAATCTTGTGCGCCAGGTAACCTTGGTCCACACATGCGCAAGGGATCGCAAAGGCACCCAAGGGTCATGCGGAAGTTTCTCAAAAAAGGGCCCTGCGAACCCAAGGGTACAGTTGAGGGTTTAGGGTTTCGGGCTTAGGGTTTAAGGTTTAGTAGGGATTGGAAGAGGATTATGGAAGCCCTTACCAGGGGTTGTTTAAGGTATACATTGAGAAATTCCCGGATGGGGTTGGGGGTTTGGCCACAGACTAGCGTCAAACCCCCAAAATTGCAATCAACATCTTGCATATATCCATAAGACACTGGAGTCTATCAGGGTATAGTATAAATCTAAACTACCGTGCTGCCACTCATGCCGATAGTTTCTATGTCATTGTCCATATTTTCCATTCTATTCTCCATTATTGGTAAAGTATTCCAAACCCAAAGCCCATGTTACTGGTGGGGACCAAGTTTAGTCATGGGTCCCCCTACACCCCTATACTACCCCCCCCCCCCCACGGTTCCCTGCGCATATCTACGGTTAATCCAACCTACGCATAACTATGGTTAATCAAAGGGGAAACTCAGGGGGGAGGTAGGGGTACCACCCATGTTTGAAATACCATTCAGGATACCTGTGGCTGGCCACTTGTACTTTTTTTGCGTGGTATCCGGTAGCTCATACGGGATTGCTTCATTGCCTCGAGATCACCATGAAGATACTGTTTTATCGGGGGGATTATACAGCGGAGAAGCTCGTGGTTCAAGAAATAGCCACATATATGACATGAACCAAAAATGGCCATGTGACTGCTTGCCAACTGAAACTGCACAATATACAGAACCCCTCATAAATATCACCGTGATGACATGCCTCATAGTACTCGGTTCGGGGTAGGGTTGGAGGCATAAGTGAAAGACATTTATGGATGATGGGTTTAGGATTTAGGGTTTAGGGGAGTCTATGGATGTTAGCTGTAGACCTCATAAATATCACCGTGATGATATGCCTCATAGTACTCGGTTCGGGGTAGGGTTGGAGGCATAAGTGAAAGACATTTATGGATGATGGGGTTTAGGATTTAGGGTTTAGGGGAGTCTATGGATGTTAGCTGTAGGCAAAGTTCCCTCTATGAACGTTGACGGTGCCAGGCATGTAGCGACTCTTTCATATGTTCAATTTGAAGGCCCTTGTGAGAAAACAATCTTGTTGAACTCCTCGAAGGGCCCTAAACGCTTATTTTGGCAGAGCGCAGTGGTAGTCCATGAGACTTTTTCGCGACTCCATTGTCTCCCTCATGGCGAAACCTTGAAGCTCCTCTTACACAGGGTCAAGGGTTTGGGGCTCAAAGCCAACAGTCCCCCAACGTCCAACTTCCTGAAAGTCCAGGGACCCAACTTTATAGAAAAAACTCGCACTAGCACGGAACCCCATGAATCCCCGATATTCTTAATCCTAAGCTGTTTGATTCTTAGCGATCTATGCAGCCCCCTTTTTGGGGCCCATGTTCGTTTGCAGTATCCTTGAAATCCTAAGTCTGATAACCCTAGCCTGAGTTGTAGCTAAATGGAGTGGGGGTTTAGGGTTTGGGGTTTAGGTTGGGGCGTCCTTGTAGTAGGCTCATACGGTTTAGATGCTTATTGCGGCGCCATATATGTGCAGAAATGATTGAAACCCTAGCCGCGGACCCTGGACTCTAAGTCCTCAACCCTAGGTCCACGCACAAACTAAACTTTGAATATAGAGCATATCAGTGTACATATCTACATAAATGTGTGTACTCATCTACATTGAGAATCTACATGTACATACAAATATGTTGCCCTCATATTCAGAGCACCTTGAAGCGGAGGTAGCGAGATTTCCGTAACATAAGTGTCAGCTATGACTGATCGAAATTCTAAGAGGGATTTTGGGATATGGGAGTTTCCTCAAAATAGGGGTGCCTTTTGGGGGGGTCCTTAGAATAAGGGTCCTCTTATGTTTTGTACCACATTTCCTGGCTATGCCTTGCGTTCTTCTCTACCTAGCCTCTGAAACTGAAAACACCGCCCCATCATGTCGAGTCCACCTGGCAGGAAAGAAACGTCACTCACTCACTCACTCACACACACACACACAGGGGCTCGACGCGGTGGCGGAGCTGCCGGGACGGCTCACGGCGGTCGCCATTCAAAGACACGCAACACAACGACTACGAGCACCAGCACAGGAAGAGGCCTCGCAGAGAGTAACCAGAACGCCTCGCGCACGTCCCGGGAGTAGGACAGCCACGAGCTGTCCTCGCGCAGGCAACACAGCAACCACACAAAGAAAGAGAAAAGCGAGCCCAAACAGACGAGCCTTGGGATTGCGACCGATGTGTTTGGCCACCGTGCAGTGCGAGTCTCGTGACAAGCTGCAACGTTCGTTATACTCAAGAACCTACAGACCACAGACCCCGCGCCTTTTCCGGCGAAGCAACACTCCACAGTCGCTGCACCACGCCACACGAAGCCTTGACGCATGAGAATGTAATGGAGTGCCACTGTCCATCCCCGGCTACGTTTGGCGCCCGACCGACCGCTGCTGTCTACAATCCCTGCCCGGCACATCATGGAGGGCGTCCAAATGAGTTAAATGTGCTACAGGCCTCAATCCATCATGAGGCTCGGCGAGGGGAGCGAGAGGCTTCCCGTGCTGCAGGTGGCGGCGTGAAGCGAAACCATGTGACCGGCCCAAACTTGTTGTGCAAGCGCACGGCCACGGGCATCTGGCGAACATCAGCCAGGTGCAGGTATTATGTCCCGGTATCACTCCCATACGCTGCATCCCCACACTAAAACCCCAAACCCTGAACCCTAAACCCTACATAACCCCCGTACATGTAACCCAGAGCCAGGCAGCCGGCACCCTTCTTGCCATAGGACTCCTCGACCAAACCACTGGCCTAGCATTGCGCAGGTCACATGGTTTAGGGTTAGGGTTTGGGGTTTAGGTTTTGAGGGTTTAGGGGCTCTGGGGTTTAGGGTTTTAGGGTTTGGTGCCCAGGGGCTTGAGGTTCAGGGTTTAGAAATTGGGGTTTAGAGTTTGCGATATGTGGTTTAGGGTCTAGGGTTTAGGAAATAGTGGCTTGTGCAAGCTCACGGAGTCTCTTCATCGGGGTTATCAAGATGATATACATACACCTATTCACACACACAAAGGCGACCACAATAGGTTGGTTATCAGGGTTTTGGGGTCCCCCCAAACCCCTCATTAGCAGCTTAGAGCGCACGATTTTGGATTCAAAGCACTGACAGTTGGCAAAAAACAAAGACCCTGAGTTTAGGGTAGGGGTTTAGGGTTTAGGGGTTTAGGGTACTAAGTTGCTGTTAAGGAACTTATTTCGGTTACTATAACATACAGTAAATACTAGGGTTTCCTTACTATAGGAATCCAACTTATGTCTTTAACATCAACCTAGTAAACCCTCTACCCTAAACCAATACAACACCTGCACTGCCCACCCAGCCGAATTTTGCAAGGCAAAACTAGACGTTGAACCCTTTTTAAATGGTTTAAATAGCTTCCAGAGCCCTACCAGTCCCTAAACCCTAAACCCAGAAGGACAGGACTCCTACAACACCCTTGGAGACTACCCGCCTGCAATGGGCTTCCATGCTTTCCAGAATCTGAGCCTCAAACCCTATGCGCTTGGGGCTTAGGGTTTAGGTTTTTAGGGTTTTAGGGAGACCACAATTGACAACCCCAAACCCTAGTCCCAAAGCTCTGCATCTCCCTTTAGGAACCCTATGGGAAATGCTAAATGACTGTTCCCAGAAGGGCGAAATTCATGTAGGGACCCGTTTGCAATAGGAACCCCACAAAAGGGAGCCTCATTATAATGAATTAAGGGAAATCCGATCCTTCAGGGCAGTGGTTCAAGGGGGTAGAAACCTCCGTCTCAGGATCGGTGCACTGTATTACAGCCCTACACCCTAAACCCTCAAACCCCCAAACCCGCTTCTCTGAGTTCATCCTAAAAATCTTGACGAGCTTCTCGCCTGGATGGTCGTATAAATTCCTCAACCCCTACCTGGACCCTCGAATGTAGTTCCTTTTTGGGTTTGTTGCGGTTTTTGGGTTAGGACTCTTGTGAGGATTACCAAAAGGTACTACATTGGAGGGTCTAGGTAAACCCTCAACTCCTAAACCCTTAACCAAAAACCCTTAACCTCTCATATGAGCCATTGTCTAAATTCCTAGTACCCCCCTTAATAACCCCTGTATTAGTATAGTAGTCCCCTATATAATCCCCTATATCACCCCCTTTAAGGAGTTTAGCCTATAGCTCATATTCCCCTTCGTCACTGCTGCCTTGGGACAGCTCCATACCAACGGCGCTTCACCTCATCCCCTATGTGCTTTAGCATGGCACGATCCGCCTGGGGATGTTGGGAGTTTAGGGCTTCTAGGGTTTTGGGTTTGGGCTTTCAGTGTAGGGTTTCGGTTTAGGGTTTAGGGTATTAAGATTTTAGGGGGTTTAAAGGTTGAGAGCTTTGGAATTACGGGGTTGAGGATTTAAGGAGTTAGGAACCCTAAACCCTAAACCCTACTGGGTTGAGGGTTCCGGCGCCTAAGGTTTACGGTCTTAATCTTTTGGGGGTCAAGGCGGCTGAGGGTG